TTCAGCTGTTGTTCACGGATCAATTGCAACCGCTTATGCTCGCTGGGTGGTATAGGCGGCATGATGGCTTTATCTGGGTCGTCTGGAAAGTTGATTTGGTAGCTTCTTGACTCAGCATTTGCGAGTGGGTAGTTGCTTTCTGTATCTTTGCTTGTTCGCTTATACAGCTCGACGTCCTTGCCTCTAGTATAGTCCTCGCCATTAACAGTATCTTCACAATCTTCGAGCATAGGCACTATGTTTCTGGTACCTCCAGCTAAGGCATTGCGAGTCTTTGTAGCACTTAATCGTTCACGATTACGTTCCTCATCAAAAATATCCCTCATGACACTTACTACACTGGCTCTTCGTTTTAGCTGGGATTCACCACCAGCAGAAGCATCGGCTAAAATATCTAGTAACAAGTCATGTAGCGATGCTGATCGTGTTTTGCGCGAAGTATGGATGTATCTGCCACCTCGATTGCCACTGGGAGTGCTGTTGCGATGGAAAGTTGGGGACTCGGAGTCGGGAATCACTCGCGCTGGGCGTAAATCTTCCTCGGTAATAGCGGTATACTTCGCTTGGTCGACACGAATTAGGCAGCGCTCACATACTTGAACTCGTTCAATCCGAGAGCGGTAATGATTTCGCGCGCGATGTTCGCGCTCTTGTGCATGAGCACATTTTTCACAAACGAGAAAGCCACACAAACAGCACAATCGTCTTCTTAAGCGCGTGAAACACCGTGCGAACGAACGACGGCAACATGCACAACGAGGCACATTAGCAATTTCATCCAGAGGGAGACGCGTATCGCTGATCGTGACTTGCATTCCAAGACGACGACGTCGTATAACTAAGAGCAAACGATGGCAGTTAGCAGCAAGGCGAAGCATCCAGAGACGCGCTAAACGTCGTTCGTGACGCGCACGTTTATAGGCATCATGAGTATCTGGTGGCAGGTACTCCCCATGGATTACCACACGAGTAGAATGACTACTAGGATCTTCTTCGAACGAATAGTTGATTATGACATTTGGTACATTCTGTTGTCGAGAACTCTTTGATGTTGCGTAGTTATCATTCGGAACGGCACTGGAACGTGCTATAGTTACGAGAGTGCGTGTAAAAGCTGGCGGAGGAGAGGCACTTGCATTACTCGCTGTGGATGACACTATCCTTGTTATTGACTGCTCATCTTTTGATCTGTCTCGAGCTTGCAGCAACTCTAAGAAACACCAAGACTCTTTTTTGGAGAAGATTCGACTGCTTTGAAAAGTTGCTGTCTTGATTGACAGCTCCCGATCATCAAATGCTCTGGCTGGGTTGCCAGTCTCACGCTGAATATTGATTGTTCGCAAAAGCTCGCCTTCGACAAATCTTCGGCGATAAATGCAGCGCATAATATCACGGAAGCTATCGGTCGAAGCAACGCGAAGCGCAAGACGCAGTTCTTGAACGGAGCAGGGCAACGATCCTTCAGCTAAAACGGCAAATCCCTTCGGCCCCCATCGTGTCTGATGTCGATGGTCGCGAATAGTG